TAAGTGACGTCTGTCTAGATATATGAAAATGAAACATTAATAGGATAGGGAAGTGGTTAGACGGTCTTCAACTTGCAGGGGTTTGGCGGAGGAAGCTAGAGCCATTTACCCCACCTACTAGGTGGTTTTACGGGCCAAAAAAAAGGTCGGAGGAAGGTAGAGCGCAGTAAAGGCGGAGGAAGGTAAGCGGAGGAAGGCGAGCGAGTAAATAGGCTATCAGTGTAGCTTTGCGTTTTCTAAAATGTGAAAACGTCTAAATGTCGTTTTTCTATTTCAGAATGAAAAGGCAAGACATGTCTCGTTTTTTTCCTTTTGGAGAACGGTTAGGTTAACACGTTTTCTAATTTTTCTATCCCCAGTTTTCCCAATTTTTGGGAAAACGGAAAATATTTTTGTTAGTAAATATTTTTGTTAGTAAACAGGCCCCAAGTAAGCCCATGTCACAAAATTGATATAAATGTCTACCTAGATATATGTATCATCTCTTTTGACCCTAGAAGCTTTTCTACTATAGGGATGTGAATAAATCTGCACAAAACTGGGTCCGGGCAGCATTCGGGCCGCATTCGGGCTGGGTTCGAGCTGGGTTCGGGCGAGGTTTGGGCCGAGTTCTAGTCGGGTTCAGGCGGGGCTTTTTCTAAATATTCTGCCCATCACTACAAAAAAACACGGGCGTAGTCACGGATTTAGTCACGGACTGCAGTGTAAAAATTCCGTGACTAAGGTGGTTAGTCACGGTCATCCGCCGTGACTAAATCCGTGTCTTAATTGGCGTGACTAAATGAAGTCACCGCCACCTAACCGTGACTAAATATAGTCATGGATTAGTCACGGTCAAGGACCGTGACTATTTTCATGCCGGAAACCCCACTCCGACGTGTTAGTCACGGCTTGTGACCGTGACTATAATTTTTTTTTAAAATAAATATTAGTCACGGCTGTGGGCCGTGACTAATAAATATTAGACAGCGGTCAAAGTGTCTCCAGGCTTCACAGTCCGAAGGGTGAGCCATCATACCCTCGTTGGTTTCGTGCTCAACATGCCATGTCATGTGTTTCGCAGTAGCAGTCGAAGCGTACATCCTTTGCAGTCGAGGAGCTATTGGGAGGTAATACAGTTTAGACAGTGCAGACCTATGTCGTGGTTTCTTTTTACCTTGACGAACAGGTTTGTATCTGTCTCCACCACAGAACTTGCAGAACTCAAGTGCCTCATCCTCCTTCCAGAACAACATACATCCTTCCGGGCACGCATCAATTTCAACACAAGGTAGCCCCAACTTAGACATTAACTGCTTCATGTGGTAATATGAATCGGGAAGGGTATGATCTCGCGGTAGCATCCCTCCTACTGACTGCAAGACTCTATTCATGCAAGTTTCAGGGAGACTGTATTCGGCTTTTATGTTCATGAACTCAGTAACAGCGGATAGCTGAGAGTATCCCTCACAATCAGCATACAGAGGTTGGTCGACAGCTTTTAGAACATCCTGAAATCTCTCAGCCAAACCTTCATCCACATAAGGTTGATAAAATGTCGGATTTTCATCCGCATCTGGTTGATACGAGGTTGAGGCTTCAGGGGGGTCGTTAGGTGGTTGTGGGGGGTTGAATTGAGACGGTACACCGTATGCGTCATATACCATTTGTTGGTCCCACCTCATTTCAGCACGGTCTCCCCACGCACTCATCTCTGGAGGGACGTAATGAGACGAACCTACCGTTTGTGGTATAACAGATGGATCCAAAGGTTCGCCGTGAGAAGTCCAATTATAATAATTGGGAACAAAACCGACCGCGTACAAATCATACCCAACTTCGTGTGGGTCTTTAAATTTGAGATTTTTACACTTTGAACATGGACATCTTATTTTATCACCACTCATATAAGCCGGATGTTCAAGTGCAAATTCAATAAATTCCCCGACTCCCTCGAGAAAATTTGATTGCATTCCGTACAATACCGCATCTTTATCATACATCCAACTTCTATTTTGTTTATACATTATGCCTGAATATTATAATAAAAAATTATATGAAATGCAATGCACACAATTTTAAGTAATTTATTTCACTAAATATAATCAACTAATTTTCACTTTTTTTAAATGAAATGCACAGAATTCTCAACAATAATGCACAAAATATATGTTCCCTAATGCACAATAATGCAGACAATTTCACTAAATTAAACATACGTTTAATTAAATCTAACTAATTCATTTAGTTAAATTTAACTAAATTTAACTAGTTCATTCCGTCCCCTTTTAATGCATCACTACGTTTAAACCTACGTTTAGCTACCTAATTTAACTTAATTAACACATCAATAGCTACGTTCAAACCTACGTTTATCAAACGAATTTTAATTAAATTATTTTTGTAAACCTACGTTTAAACCTACACTAAATTATTACGTTAATGACATTTAATCTTATTAGTAATACACAATTAACAATTCACTAAATTAAATAATATGACCAAATTCAACCCAATAATTTGAACATGTATATAAAGTTATTTGAATTAATAAGCAATACACAATTCACAATAACAATTCACAATTCACTTAATTAACACATTACTAACGTACGTTATTTGAACTAATTTCACTAAACATAAACATCATTACGTTTTAAACCACATTTAGCTAACTAATTTTAATTAAATTATTTTAATTTATAAACCTAAAAGTTTAACTAATTCTAATTTATGACATTACTACGCTTATAGTTAAAACATGTTGTTAATTAATTAACAATCTCACTAATTTAATAGTTTTAATAATTTTAATTGAACCAACTAATTCTAAATAAAAATTATAATTCAAATAACATACCTTATCTGCATAAACAGGGAAAATGATAGAAGATAGACTACATCCTTCGATCTACGGATACTGTATATACTGGGAATGAATTGGTGTGGTTCTGTTCAATGAGCTGCTCCTGCATATATAAAAAATTTAGTCACGGACTTAGTCACGGATTTGTCCGTCACTAAGCAAAACCGTGTCCAATACGCGTCCAACACGTGTTAATGACGTGTAAATGACGTGTTAATCAAAGTAGTCACGGAACTAGTCACGGACATGGCCGTGACTAAAGTTATCCGTACATAATGCCGTTGCGAATTAAGTTAAGGGAGGTGGAAAAATTAAATTTTAATTATAGTCACGGGTATAGTCACGGATTTGGCCGTGACTAAGTCGTCGGAATCAAATAAACTTCGCCGGAAACGGAAACGGGCCTATCGGAGGACTTAAGTCACGGGCCCAGACCGTGACTAACATTAGTCACGGTCATAGTCACGGTCCAGACCGTGACTATTTTTTTTTTTAAATTTCCGTGACTAGTCCGTGACTAGACCGTGACTAAACTAGTCACGGACCAAATCCGTGACTAAAATCCGTGACTATAACGCTGTTTTTTTGTAGTGCATTGATGTGAACAAGACCGGCCCGACCTGGACCAAACTGCCCTAACCTCATGTCCATACCCGCCCGTAAAAGCGGGCCAAGCAGTCACCTTTTAAAATAATATTTCCTCCGTTCCGAAAAGGTTGCCCAAATTTTCTTTTTTGGATGTTCCAAAAAGATTTGTCATTTTCATTTAAAGTAAGAAATATATGGCTAAAATTAATTCTCTCTCCTCTACACAAATTTCAATCATACACTTTTTACTTTATTAATCCACGGAAAGTCAACTTTGGCCAACCTTTTCGGGACGGAGGGAGTATTATAACATTTTAAAAAGTACTAATATGCTTATAATGTTTATAGGTCTCTCTCACCACATAGTAGAGTGCCGTAGATGTAAATACAGGGCCAACATCAGATTATAAAAAATCATGGATCGATGCAGATGTAAATCCCGTAGGTGTATAAATGTGTGCGAATTAAAAAGTCATGGATCTATGCAGATCTGAATCCTAAAAAATGTTAGGTCTCGGAGATTCAGACACTCACCAACCCCATATCCATAGATCTATAAAGATCTGTTCAGGCTCTACATGCAGTGAAAGTTTTTTCAAAAACATTACCAGATTCATTTTGAAAAAACAGTGTAGAAACACAGAATAATTGAATGTGTCAAGGAATTTTTATATAGAAAACCATATACAGAAAATCAAATATATAATGAACCCGTATGTTTGAATCGAATAAATTCAGAAATATACCGACAACTCAATCGGAATGGACGGCAATCGTTCGGATTGTATCAGATGGAAACGCAGACCATCCATCGTTCGGATTGCATGTCGCTGTACAGAAAAGTGAGAGTGAGAAGAGTATGAATGATGGCGTTTAGAGGGGGAGTTTTAGAGGGGAAGATGAATGTTGCATTGAAGATGGTAGGTTGCTATCGCAGAGGAGGTTGAGGCGTCGAATGGTCTGGAGGATAATAGGTGGTTTGCTGGATAATGGGGTGAAACTCGGGTATTTATATTTAGGGTTGGTTGGGGTTGGTCTGGGTAGGTTAAGGATAACGGGTTGGGCTGGGTAAGTTTAATTGGGCCGGATAGGATTGCAGCTGGCTGAAAGGTTTTATTTTAATGGGAGTATAATCTGGATCGGAAATTTCAGCTATTTGGGTCTGAAATTAAATGGATGTTACATACTTTTGTACGTATTCAATGGTTTGGTTAGATTTATTTGGGCCATAAAAATAGTTCAATGTGAATGAATAAATACTTTTGTTTTTATAGTACTAAAATAGATCTAAAAACATTTTTTATGTAATTGAAGTCAACGTAAAAATTTGTTGGTCCGCGACGTAGGCACCATAATCATTTCTACTTGGTTCGTTCATAAATAATTTGCCATCTCATACATTTTTGTGAGTCAAAAATGTATATATTTATTTTAAAAGGTTTTAAATACTCACCAAATAATTTGAACAAATTCATTTATTTCAAACCTTCACATTAAATATTGTAGGTTTAGAAAAATATTCATATAATGTTATTATGAACTTCTTTTGTACGTTTCCATTTTTTACAGAAAATATTGGTCAAAATGTTAACAAAAATCCTAAGCCTCATCGCGATAGCTCATCTAATGTTTTGGTCGACAAAACAAATGGTACTTCTCACTCTAAAATTACTTTCTAACCATTTTGATAATGTTAATATATATTTAAATTTTGATATCTTTGAATTTTTGTTCCAACATTATATAGTTTGTTACTTGCCATTTGATTATTCACGCGGTATGAGGGTGATGAATGTCAATCGTGAAGAACAACTATCAAATATGCAACGTGTACTTCCATTGCAATCAGATCACGTTGAAGGTGCACGTTGTTATGATTTTGTACATCCCAAGTTTTACATTTGTTAAGAACACCACTTTCCTCTTATTCGTTAGTATTAATTAATGTTGCTTTGAATGTCTTTTTCTAGACACAATCAGTGTCGAGTATTGTGATATCGGCGACCCATCACATAATTGTGCCAAATGTGGAGCGCTGTTTTGGTTTGAGGAAAGGACACTTCGAAGTTCTACAAAAACAAGCCCTAAGTACTCTCTTTGTTGCAAGAAAGGTAACATTACTTTGCCGAAACTTAAGAACCCCCCATCTGAATTGGATGATTTGATTAATGGGACCGATCGTAGATGTAAACACTTCCAAGAGAATATCAGATCATATAATAGTATGTTTTCGTTTACATCCATGGGTGGGAGGGTAGATCGGACGATTAATAAGGGTGGAGGACCACCTATTTTTAAACTCAGTGGTCAGAATTATCATCTAATGGGATCTCTGCTACCACAAGAAGGAAGTGTGCCAAAATTTGCCCAGTTATATATATATGATACGCAAAATGAAGATATGAACCGCTTGAGTTCTGTTACGGAAGATACGAAAAAAAAACAAATTGCACGCAGAGATCGTATCTACTTTAAGGGGAATGTTAGATGAGCATAACGTTTTGGTGAAGTCTTTTAGGATGGTTAGAGACAAGATCGCTGAAGGGGGTGAGACAAAAGTGAGTTTGAAGTTAATAGGGAGGAGGAATAGAGACGCTAGAACTTATAATCTGCCCACCGTTTCAGAAGTAGCGGCTTTGGTTGTCGGGGATTTTGATGAAGCGCTCGGAGAAAGAGATATAATGGTCGAAACCCAGGGAGGTCTTTTGAAGCGTATAAGTGAATTGAATCCTTCATATTTGGGGTTGCAGTATCCACTTCTGTTTCCATTTGGGGAAGATGGTTATCGGGAGGATATAAACTTTTCTGACCTTGATAGTTCTGAAACAAGGGCTCGCCACAATGTTAGCATTAGAGAGTTTTTAGCATATAGATTGCATGAGCGAAGCACCGAATGCCCATTCATCCTTCACAGTAGAAGATTGTTCCAACAATTTGTTGTTGACGGGTATACAATGGTTGAATCTTCAAGGCTAAGGTATATAAGAACACATCAAAAAGAATTGAGGTGTGCAATGTACAAAGGCCTTTCTGATGCTTTGCTCAGTGGAGAGAGAGATGCATCTACACAAGGTAAGAGAGTAGTTTTACCGCCCACATTTGTTGGAGGGGCGCGGTATATGGTACAAAATTATCAAGATTCGATGGCTATATGTCGATGGGCTGGCTATCCTGATCTATTTTTGACATTCACTTGCAACCCTAAGTGGCCAGAAATAGTGAGATTCCTCAAGAAGAGAAACTTGAACCCTGAGGATCGACCAGATATAATATGTCGTGTTTTTAAAATGAAGTTGGATGGATTGATTAAAGATCTACGACACAATAAGATATTTGGTGAAGTCAGAGCAGGTATATATCATAGTTCACACCAATTTCTGGTATTATAATTATAATATTATGCCTATAATGTGATGTACGTCAATTTAATGTGATGATATAACATTCTTTTACAGTCATATACACAGTCGAATTCCAAAAACGTGGTCTCCCGCACGCTCATATTCTGTTATTCATGGGAAGTGATGACAAGTTTCCAACACCAGCGGACATTGATGGCATCATATCTGCTGAAATACCTGATGAGTTGAATGATCCAGAGTATTATAATGCTGTGTGTATGCATATGATGCATGGACCGTGTGGTAATGATGCCAAAAGTGCTCCATGCATGGTACAATCGAAGTGTTCAAAGCACTTTCCGAAAAACTTCAACGAACAAACCACTCTTGACGATGAAGGTTATCCTAAGTATAGAAGGCGCAATAATGGGAGAGTAGTTGTCAAGGGTCAAGCGCATCTTGACAATAGATATGTTGTCCCCCATAACAGGTCTTTATTGTTGAAGTATGGTGCTCACCTAAATGTGGAGTGGTGCAATCAGAGTAGGTCAATAAAATATTTGTTCAAATATGTGAACAAAGGAAATGATCGTGTCACAGCAGGATTTTATGAGACTACTAATAAAGATGAAATTGACAAACCTGTTGATGAAATAAAGGTATACTACGATTGTAGGTATATATCTCCCTGTGAGGCCATGTGGAGAATATTTGGGTTTGAAATTCAGTACAAGAATCCATCTGTAGAACGACTAAGCTTTCACTTCCCCGACGAGCAGTATGTTTATTTTGAAGATGGGGCAAATGTAAATGATGTTGTACTGCGTGAATCTGTTAGGGAGAGTATGTTTTTGGCATGGATGAGAGCGAATGTACAGTACCCGGAGGCAAGAGATTTAACTTATGCTGAATTCCCTCAAAAGTTCGTATGGAAGGCAAAATCCAGAGAATTTGTCCCTCGCCAAAAGGGTTTTGCTATAGGCAGACTGACGTATGTCCCTCCAGGTTCAGGTGAGTCTTATTATTTAAGATGCATCCTTAATTTGAGGCGTGGGGCTACATGCTATGATGATCTAAGAACTGTCGATGGGATTTGCCATGCTACGTATCGCGATGCATGTTACGCTTTAGGATTGTTAGATGATGACAAGGAGTATATTGAAGGAATGTCTGAAGGTAGTTTTTGGGCCTCTGCATGGGTCCTCAGAAAGCTATTTGTGATATTGTTGGCAGCAGATACAATGAGCAGACCAGAATACGTGTGGGATAAATGTTGGACATTTATGTCAGATGACATTCTGCATAGGCAAAGGAGAGCTTTACTACATCCTGGTACTTACAAATATTGCAAGTCATTTAACACCTCATATTTATGTCATTCAGTAATATTATATCACATATTATATCTGTTAAATAACTGTATTAATTGTGTATTAATACAATTAATAGATTTGACATTGACCGAAGATGAGATTAAGAATTATGCACTCATCGAGATAGAGACCATGTTGAAGAGAATAGGTAAAAGCTTGAAGGACTATCCGTCAATGCCGTTCCCCAACGTAAGCGAATCATCCATGTCTCAGAATAGGCTTATATTTGACGAGTTGCAATATGATCGTGTTGCCTTACACGAAGAGCACGAGAAATGCATAAAGGCTCTAAATGAAGATCAACGTGAGGTATATACAACTATCATGCAATCTGTTGAATCAACCGAAGGTGGAGTTTTCTTTGTTTATGGTTACGGGGGCACAGGCAAAACTTTTGTGTGGAAGTCTTTGTCTGCTGCATTACGATCAAAAGGGGAAATTGTTCTCAACGTTGCTTCTAGCGGCATTGCGGCTTTACTGTTGCCTGGTGGCAGGACAGCGCATTCTCGATTTGCAATACCCATCAATCCCGATGAGAATTCCACTTGCAACATAAAACAGGGGAGTCCACTAGCGCAGTTGATAATTCGCTGCAAGCTCATTATATGGGATGAGGCTCCTATGACGCACAGATATTGTTTCGAAGCTATGGACAGAACTTTGCGAGACATTCTTAGATTCACTAATTCGTTTAGTGCTGACAAACCTTTTGGAGGGAAAACGGTTGTTTTCGGAGGAGACTTCAGACAGATTTTACCGGTCATCACAAAAGGTCGCAGACAAGACATAGTCAATGCGGCGATTAATTCTTCTTATCTTTGGCACGAGTGCATTGTATTACGTTTGACTAAGAACATGAGATTGCAATCCTTGAGTGACGATCGTGAATATGAAGATTTGGTAGAGTTCGCCAAGTGGATTGCTAACTTGGGGGATGGTACTGAGGGAGAAGATAATGATGGCTTTGCCGATGTTCAGATTCCGAGCGACATTTTGTTGGAGTGCGGAGACGATCCCATTGCTACAATCGTAAAAAGCACATATCCGGACTTTGAGAATATTGCCAACGATCCGACTTATTTGCAAGAGCGTGCAATCTTGGCTCCAACTCTTGATGTGGTCGATGCGATTAATGAATACATGACCTCTTTGAATGTCAATGAAGAGTCAAGGACATATTTAAGTTCGGATAGCATTTGCAAGTCAGACTCTAATGCGGATTTTTTGGCAGATTTGCATACTCCGGAGTTTCTGAACAAAATACGTGCATCCGGAGTTCCTAACCATGAGTTAATCCTCAAGGTTGGTACTCCAATAATGCTTTTACGAAATATTGATCCTTCAATGGGACTATGCAATGGAACAAGGTTGATTGTTACTCGGCTTGGAAATCACATACTTGGAGCAAGAATTTTAGGCGGAAAATATGCTGGGCTGGAAGTTGTCATCCCAAGGTTAAGCTTGACTCCATCAGATGCAAGAATACCGTTCAAGTTTCAGAGGAGGCAATTTCCAGTCATGACTTCTTATGCGATGACAATAAATAAGAGTCAGGGCCAATCTTTGACCCATGTTGGACTCTTATTAAAGAAACCTGTCTTTACGCATGGTCAATTGTACGTGGCAGTATCTAGAGTGACAAACCGTAAGGGTTTGAAGATATTGATTTGCGGCGAAGATGGGAAAAGCATTGATCGTACTACAAATGTTGTTTACAAAGAAGTCTTTCGAAATGTTTAGTCATTGTAGATCTCATTGTATGCTTCAAATGCTTACAAACATGTGTTTCGAACTTTATTATGTGTTTCGTTTTTCTGTCTTTCCTAATATATAAATCGTACTTATTGTTAGAGATAACTATAGTTTTCTCTATAATTATTGCATATTGTTCATATATCTATTACATACGTATAAAAAGAATATAATCTGCAATATAATCTATAGTTCTCTCTCTATGGGACCGAGAGAGTAGTAAACAACTTTTACCAATGACATTTTTAATATGAAATTATTTTGAATGTGAAAATTATTCTACCATGCACTAACATTGAATCAAGTGAAAATGGGATAAAGGCGGTATCTTGATCGTCGATTGGATGATGAAAAAGATGTCATTTCATCATCCTTCCTTTTTATCTTCCAGTAATGATACCGAGGTTCTACCGGGACCAACCACACCCATTATGAACCCATTCCAACGCCGTTCGAAACTATATGATTTAAACTTTGTATGAGAACAAGACAAAAGACATTTAATACTTCTTATAATCACAAAAGAATCATAATTTTAATATTGTATTACAAATTAAATTAATAATAACTAATTATATAGTTATAATAGTAATTACAATAATAATATAATATATAATAATAACAATAAAGAGCTGACATTTACCCCACCGATTTTGGTGGTTTACTGACCGGGTTTATATATATATATATAAGACACATTTTTGCCCAACAATCCATATTGAGAAGTTTATCCCAATTTTTATACATGGCCCATTAGCTTATAATCCAGTCCGATTATAAACCATTTAAGTCTTCCCAACAACCCTAACCTAAACCGCCTATATAAGGTGTCTTTATCCTGCGGCTAAATCATTTGCGCTTCGGCAGACTTCAGAGTCTATCGGTTCTCCGATGACCTTTCTGTTGTCGTCAATCTGTTGTCCTTCCTATTTAATACACACTACCACATCTCACCCGGCCTTGTTCTTATCCTATTCAAAATACATACTCAATATTCATTGCAATTCTCGTCAGACATACAATTCGACCGTATGTACGAAGGCCGAGTGATCATCAAAGGAACTCAAACCTTACATCTTCTTTCGTGATTTGGGTATATCTCATACTATTCCGTAGTTTTATCAGTTTTGTGTGTACATGCACTTCTACTTCATTAGATTTCATGGTTTTTCAATTTAGCAAAAAAAATCTAATGCTAAGTCAATTTATTTTTTCCCGATCTTGCCTTATTGGACAACTCTTACGCCGATGAAGATTGAGTGATAATAAAAGAATCCCAGACCTTGCATCTCCGATCCTTTCGTGATTTGGATACATCTCACACTATTCCTGTGTTTTATCGAATTTGTGTGTACATGAAGTTGTATTTGATTTTTCAATTTAGCAAATCTTTTTGAATGTGAAGTGAATTTATTTTTCTCCGATCTTGCCTTATTCGGCCACTGTGATGACGACGAAGGCAATTTGATAATAAAATGATCTCAAACCTAAACTAAATCTCCTTTTGTCATTCACGTAAATCTTACAGTGTTCCTGTGTTTCTTCACTTATGTGTATACATACACTTGTATATGATTTTATTTAAGGAATAAATTGCAAATGAGACAGCTGCAGGGTAAAGATGCCTTATTTTCATACTAAACAAAGATGTTCAAATAATATAATATAGCCATCTATTTTTCAAGGTACACAGATCGGTAAAATAATAGAATATTTTATTGTCCATGACACACTTTTACGAAAAGAATTACATCTGGGATCGAATAGTAATAATGTGTTGGATATATGACATTGAAATACTACTTTCTCAAACTGATACATTTAACATATTTATGAAAAGCTTATTTTGCACACAATCAATGTTTATATTTACAACTTCAGGGCTATCTATTTTCATTTATATTAAAAACTGATTCATACGCACCCAAATCTTTTAAACTTTGTATACATATACGACATGCATGTATACTAAACTACATCTTTGTCGGTTTTCTACTTGAACGATTGTAGTCTCATTTCCGATTCAATTGTCAGTAGATTTCTGATAAATAAATAAGTAAAAAATGAATGTGTAAGTGCATAAATTAATATATAAATGAATGAATGAGTAAAAAATAAATACAATTGATTAAATAAATAATTAAATCAATAAATATATAAATGAAGAAATAAACAGATACATAAATAATAATAAAAACTTAGTGAATAAATAAATAATACATTGATAAATGAATATATGATTATATAAATAAAAATATATATAATAAATAAATAAATAGCTAAATAGAAAAGTAATACATAAATAAAGAATAAATCAGCAATAAATAAATAAATTAATAAATAAATAGTTTAATAAGTAAATGAAAAATATTATATAATACCGTGAATAAAAAATAGTGTCATATATAAATTAATAAATAAATAATTAAACGAATGAATGAATAAAATCTTAACAGATAAATGATTAAATAAAATACTAAATAATTAAATAAAATGTAAATATAATTAAACATATCAATAAAAAATAAATGAATAACTGAATAAAGTAATAAATAAACCGGTAAGAAAATAAATATATAATATATAAGTATTAATTAAATAATAAATAATAAATAAAAAAATGATGGAAAATAAAAAAATTGATGCATATAAATTGGATGTTCCCTCAAACATCAAAACCTAGATACATATTTGAATTTTTAATTATTCAATTGAATTATCATGTTAAAATTAACTATGGACCACTTGTTGGTGAGGCATATTAATTATGTGTGTCTGTCTTTTTGTGTAACGTCAATACACATTTTAAAACCCCAATAATTTCTTCTCGAGTTTCAGCGATTGACAGAGTAGTCGAATCGAGCTATATAAGGAATTGAAGATATAGTTTAGATTAGAGTTTAACCCGTCCTTAGATCCAACTACATAGAGTAGATGTTTCACTCCATATAGCGATCGAGGATACACACTATGTAAGTTTGCTCCCTTATTCAATTAGAAGCTAGGTCTTCTTTACATCCCAATGGTTGTTTAATTTGTATTGAGATGATCAAGAACTAAGTTTTCGTAAATGTTTTTGTTTTTATTTTGCTCTTTGTTTTATGTTTGTTTCAATTTCAAAAGTGAGAACGGGGGACTTTATTATATGTTAACTATTCTTACACTTTTGGTTCATCATTTGGTTTGTCTGAACTTGTGATGAAATCAAATGATTTATAGTACCTAGCAATTAATGGGTGTAAATAGTATAAGCCGAAACCGCACCAATAGTTGTCGGTATGAATGAATTCTTTAAGAAATTTTTGTGTGTTGATCTTGCTTGACTTGCGATTTGTAAATTGACTATATATAAAGTTTATCTTAATGATTAATTCAATGAAAAATATTTGTTATGGCAAGTGTTGAGCATATGGTCTCATAAATGTACTTTGTCCTATAGAATTGTCAATATTTAGAGTTTATTTATCCAAATAAAGATATGATTATTGTAACTTTTACATTACAGGGATGCTAATGTTAATTCTTGTGCGTATCGATTTGGAAATGTGAATAAATAGATGCACTTGATGGTTCATTGAACCTCATCACACCTAAAGGTATACATGTATACTTATATGAATTTTGAACTAACCAAATTTTATCTATTTCATGCAATTATTGTGTTAAGATATTAATCCTAACCACTTATTAGGGAAACACAACTCATTTCTCTATGTACGAAGTTTCTTCTCATTAGCAAAGCACAATGGTGCATGTTCCTTCATTGTTATTTCACGAGATATATAACCTTGCCTCTTGGTTTTACACTAACATCACAGTTCCTTATCTATATAATATTTGGTTCTTTAATTTTTGATGATCCATGCAGCAGTCAGAGCAAGTGAGAAAATAAAACTTCAATTATGAATCGGGCTAAGGGTATTGAGGGAATATAGTAATGGTTGTCATACGAATACATGATAAGTCTTCTTTTTCTCTTTCTTTTTTGTTTTGAATTATATTTATTGTTCTCAGTTTATGTTATTGATAATTCTTTTCTATATTCTATCCAAATTTCAAGCACTACTAACTAGTTTTCACTTTCTAGAAAAATGCTCCAAAAAAAGATTGAGGGATGGAAAGATTATTTAATTAGTTATATATTCATCACATGGTGTTTTCAAACTTGTGACACAATCTAGTTGTGTTCCAAACTAGATATGCAGTATTATAATAAATATTGGTGTTTTTAAATAAATTTAGGGGTAATTTGAGTTTGCACCCCATTTTATTGTCAAAAGTGGACTTTGCACCCCATTTTTCAAAAACTTTGTTTTTGCACCCTAACCCCATATGAAAAACAATAATGCCCCTCTATTAATAATTTTGTTGGCCTTCAAAATATTCTTGATCAAGGACATATTTGTCTTTTCATATGAGGTTAGGGTGCAAAAACAAAGTTTTTGAAAAACGGGGTGCAAAGTTCAATTTTGACAATAAAATGGGATGCAAACTCAAATTACCCCATAAATTTATTACTACAAATAATAGAAAATAAATTTTAAAAGAATAGAAGGCTAAACCACAAAAATTTTAATATGAGAAGTATATATATAAGAAAAATGTAATACTATGTATATAAACATTTATCCCTCATTTTTTGGCATAAAGTTACATTTTAATCATAAAACGTGACATACATGAAATATGTCTATATTGTATTACACACATTAAACAAATCCTAAATAAATTAGTAAAATAATGAATTCAAATTTGAAATCACGCAGTCAAACCGTGCGGGTCAACGGTTTAAAAAATTCTGAAGCAGCACCGAAGTCTGCAGAAATTCCATGTCATTTTCCAATTTCCATCTGTTGCAGTTGTTGGTGGCATCGCCGTCGTCACTTGAGGCGCTAAAGCATTTGTAAAGCCTTTTAGTCCATCATCAGCCGCCGCTTCCAATTAACTACGTACCTTACCTGAAAGCCTTATTCTCATTGTTGCTGTCATTGAAGCTATCAAGCAAGTACGAATCTCCTACGCATTGCTGCTGTCGTTGAAGCTATCAAGCGAGTTCGAATCTCCCATTTCTGCCGTTTCATTCATCGCCTCATATTCATAGCCTAAGTGAGGTTGAAAACTCCTCCTTTGACATATCCCGCATTGAGAGTAGTGCCTGGTCCTGGCCTCCATACATAAGAGCAGCAAGATCATAGGTTCTGGCAGCAGCCTCTTCACTGTCATATGCCCCTTCATTCCATTTCAAAAACAAATATCACTATATTCAGTTCGAAATTCTGATGATTTTACTTTGAAAAGACTAATTTCTTTACTAGTTCAAAGAAATGCTTACTCAAGTAAACTAATTTATGGAAATAGGGATAGATTGCAGATGTCAAGGATCATGAGAAAAGAAAGAAACTTGATTAGTACATAAACAAATTACTACTTAAGGTAAGAAAATAAGAAACTGCAAACACAACATGGATCATCAAATCTCATTTATTGAAATTTTTATATGGAAAATAAAATAGTTCATTGTTAAAACAGAATAAGGTTAAATAAATAATAATTGATTTAGGAAAAGTCTGGGATTGAATCTAAATCAGAAGTAAACATCAGAAGTAATCGATCATTTTGTCTCCCTTTCTTGCTTGATATCTCCCTTGTTGGCACGACTAAAATTTTATAAAGTTAAAAATGCAAACATAAATTGTCTTGTGCCATGCATTCACTTGAAACACACACTGGGAGAGCATTTTAGGAAGAAACTACACCCAAATGCCCAATCACACACTAGCTTTGGTAAGTGTGTCCACCTTGTTACCCTCTGAAGAGAGAGCTTCTCTTGGCTGGCCCACGTGCCGGAGAATAAGAACTGTGAGCTATGCTTTTCTGCTTTCCTTTATGATAAAATTTCCTTCATGAGATTTGTTGATGATGAGTTGGTATGGTCTCATAGATATAGATGTACTTTATCTAATCAAATTGGCTATATTTAATGTTTTTTCCCAAATGATGATATGACCCAAGTAGCTTTTATATTATAGGGATGCGAATAGATCTGCACAAAACTAGGTTCGGTTTGGGTTCGGGCTAGGTTCGGGCTGGGTTCAGGCCGGGTTCAGGCTGGGTTCGGGCTGGGATTGGGCAAGGTTTGGGCTGCATTTGTGCTAGGTTTGGGATGATGAAAAAGATGTCATTTCCTCGTCCTTCAATACCGAGGTTCTATCGGAACCAACCTCACCCATTTTGAACCCATTCCAAACCCACTCGAAACGTTGAAACAATATGATTTAAACTTTGTATGTGAACAAGAAAAAAGACATTCAATACTTCTTATAATCACAAAAGAATTATAATATTAATATTGTATTACAAATTAAATTAATAATAATTAATTCTATAGTCACACTAGTAATTAAAATAATAATATAATATATAATATAATAATAACAATGAAGACCCCGACATTTACCCTGCTGATTTTGGTGATGTACCGATCCAGTTTTATATTAAAAAAAAACCATTTCTGCCCAACAATCCATATGGAGCAGTTTATCCCAATTTTATGGCCCATTAGCGAATAACCGAGCCCAATTTTAAATCATTTAAGTCTTCCCAACAACCCTAACCTAAACCGCCCTATATAAGGCGTCTTTACCATGCGGCTAAATCATATACGCACTTTGTCCGACTTCAAAGCCCACCGGTTCTCCGATGACCTCTCGATTGTCGTCAATCTTTTGGCCTTCCTATTTAATACACACTACCACATCTCACCCTTGTTCTTATCCTATTCAAAATACATACTCAATATTCATTGCAATTCTCGTCAGACATACAACCGTATGTATTTTAAACTGTGAAGTGAGTCTATATTTGTGCAATGACGCCTTATCGACCGTATGTATGAAGGCCAGGTGATCGTCAAAGGATCTCAGACTTTACATCTTCTTTCGTGATTTGGGTATATCTCATACTATTATGTAGATTTATCAGTTCCTTTTTTTTGTGTGTACATGCACTTCTACTTCATTAGATTTCGTGGTTTTTTTTTTCAATTTAGCAAAAAAATCTAATGCTAAGTCAATTTATTTTTGCCTGATCTTGCCTTATTGGACTACTACTCTTACGCCGATGAAGGTTGAGTGATAATAAAAGGATCTCAAACCTTATATCTCTTTTGTTGATTTTGGTATATCTCACACTATTCGAATGTTTTATCGAATTTCGGTGTACATGCAATTGTATTTGATTTTTCAATTTAGCAAATCTTTTTAAATGCGACGGGAGTTTATTTTTCTCCGATCTTGCCTTATTCGGTCACTGTGACGGCGACGAAGGCAATTTGATAATAAATTAAATCTCCTTTTGTCATTCCCATAAATCTTATAGTGTTCCTATGTTTTTTTCACTTTTGTGTGTACATACACTTGTATATGATTTCCTTTAAGGAATAAATTGCAAATGAGATAGTCGCAGGGTAAAGACGCCTTACTTTCATACTAAAAAATGAAGTTCAAATAATAGAATATAGCCATCTATTTTTCCAGGTACACATATTTGTAAATTAGTAGAATATTTTATTGTCCTTGATACACTTTTATGAAAAGAATTAATCTGTGATCGAATAGTAATAATGTGCTGGATATATGACATTGAAATACTACTTTCTCAAAGCAATGAGATAAGCAGACACTTATTGTCTTACATCTCTTACAATATGTATGTTTTTTAAGTAAAATATCCGGATTGCATATAGTATGAAGGGGTCAATTATTTAATCATAGTTTCTACAATATACTTATATGTCATACTTTGAACTGTATAATTTTTGTAATACGTATTACAAACTAATACTTTTAACATATTTATGGGAAGCTTATTGTGATTACAATCATTTTTTATTTCAAACTCTTACATTTTATTAATCTAATCATAACTTCAGGGCTATCTATTTTCATTTATATAAAAAAAAACTGATTCATACGCACCCAAATCTTTCAAACATCGCATACATATATGACAATTATGTATATATTAAACTACATCTTTGTCAGTTTTCTACTTGAACCATTGTAGTCTCATTTCCGATTCAATTGTCAGTAGATTTCTAAATTTGTTATTCGATTTTCGGTATTTTTCCGATTCGATTGTCATCTGAGTAACTGAGTTTCCTATTTTGTGTGTTCTTTAAAACGTTTAATTATTTGGTTTTTGTAGACTGTTTTTCATGTTAAAATGTGATGATTATAAAAAACCTAAAACAAAACATAGATTACTTAATGGATCCGTCTAGATATATGATTTTATGGTTCGTACATGTCCTAATATCAGATATGTATCAATTATTTGCTTCATTGATAGACATAAACTGGACAGATTCGATTTATAAGTGACGAAGAGGTTTAGGATGTTTTCTTTTGGACTGAAATTTGCTGGTCTGGTCTGGTCTGGTCTGTTTAAGTCTGGTCTGGTCTGGTCTGGTCTGTTTAAGTCTGGTCTTGTCTGGTCTGGTCTGAACTGGTCTGGTCTGGTCTGGTAAACGTCTGGTCTCTGTGTATTTTATAACTACGGAAGTCTGGTCTGGTCTGGTCTGGTCTGTTTAAGTCTGGTCTGGTCTGGTCTGGTCTGTTTAAGTCTGGTCTGGTCTGGTCTGATCTGTTTAAGTCTGGTCTGGTCTGGGACTGAAAACAGTCCAAAAGAAAACATCCTTACTCATATATCTTGAAAATGAAATATTCAGTAACTTAACCCCGTGTCACAAAATTGATATAAACTTCAGTCTAGATCTATGATTTTGTTGTTCGTACATGTGTTAATATCATATATGTATCAATTTGTTTCTACATTAATTTGGACGAATTTGATTTTTGAGTGAGGACAGGGTATACTGATATCTCTTGAGTAACCATGTGTCACAAAATTGATATAAACGTCTATTTTTTACTTCAATAGAGCAAAACTCTTTAAGATTATTATTTTATAAATATTGAATATATGCACATATGATCATACTTGTTGTACCAAAGAACTACCACACAGTGTTATTGAATACAAAGTGTTTTGAATGATGTTATAATGAGTCAGAATTTGTTCGTGAAGTCCAAAGTGATTGAATACATCCATACATAACAATATAGTTTAAACAGATATATGATCATTACTTAAGTAATTATGTTACTTAGTCATCCATTAAGTAATGTGATCCATTAAGTAATGTGATGATTACTTATGGTTCGTACATGTCCATTAAATCACTTATGGTTCATTCATATTACTGAATATAGTCTAAACAGATAAATGACTAAATAAGTAAGAATGAATAAATAAATGAATAAATTTAAAAGTATATATATTAGTGAATTAGTAAAAGAATGAACAAATGAATGAATGAACGAACAAATAGGTAAACTCTATTTGTAGCACGGAAATTCTTGGGAAAAAGTACGTTTCCGTTTTAGAAACTACATAAACTCTTTGGAAACTCACCAAATAATATTTTTTTGAGCAAAAGTTGATTTTTCTCGTTTCCTGTTTAATTTTTGCGTTTCCGTGCAACATAGATTTTCATTTGATGCAGTTGCTGGCGGCGCAGCTGTCATCACTTGAGGCGCTAAAGCAATTGTAAAGCCTTTTAGTCCGTCATCAGCCGTAGCTTCCGATTCACTACGTACCTTACCTGAAAGCAAGTGAGGCTAAAAACTCCTCCTTTGACATATTCCGCATTTCCTCGAGCTTTTTGGTGTAGTGCCTGGCCCTAATATTGAGAGTAGTGCCTGGCCCTGGCCCCCTATAGGCCTGTACGTAAGAGCAGCAAGATCATAGGTTCTTGCAGCAGCCTCTTCATTGTCATATGCCCCTTCATTCCATTTCAGAAACAAATATCACTATATTCAGTTCAAAATTCTGATGAGTATGTTTTGAGAACACTAATTTCTTTACTAGTTCAAAGAAATGCTTACCCAAGTAAACTAATTCATGGCAATATTGATAGGTTGCAGATGTCAAGGATCATGAGAAAAGAAAGAAACTTGATAAGTACATAAACCAAGTGACTACTTAAGGTAAGAAAATAAGAAACTGCAAACACAACATAGATCATCAAATCCCATTTATTTAAAGTTTTACACAAAAAATATAATAGTTCATTGCTAAAACAAAATAAGGTTAAATAAATAATAATTGATTTAGGAAAAGTCTGGGATTTAATCTAAATCAGAAGTACATAATAGAAGACGAGCAGTATATAGTGAAAAATAATTAAAATACCTCAAACTTTGAAGTGTTGTGATGTAAACACCCCAAACTTGCTTATGTAATTTAAATACCTCAAACTTTATATAAAAAAGTTATTTTAGAACCATGGTCATGTATTATTTCTTTCACAAATGTTAATTTTTGGTGTTAATTTCATAATTTAAAATATTTTAGCATTCATGAAGATGCAATTAGCATTCTAAACTTCCATTTGTAATATGAATAGTATTACCCCCATTCTATATAATTGCAACATTTTCAATTTGCTATTTTAAATTATGAAATTAACACCAGATATTTACATTTATGAAATAAACAATACATGAATATGATGTTAAAATAACTTTTTATCAACAGTTTGGGGTATTTAAATTCCATATGAAAGTTTTTATCTCACATCCCTTCAAAGTTTGGGATATTTTAATTATTTTTCCCTAGTATATATAATCACTTTGTGTCCTTTTCTTGCTGGCACCGCTATTCTGAGGACTCTTTACCAATAGTGAGCTTCATATCTCCCTTTCTTGTTGGTACTACTAAATTTTATAAAGAAAGTTAAAAATGCAGACATAAGTTGTCGTGTGCCATGCAATCATTGAAACACACACTGGCAGAGCATTATAGAAAAAATAAACATCACACAATCACACACTAGATTTGATTTGGTAAGTGTGTCCACCTTGTTATGCCCCTGAAGAGGGAGCTTCTCTTGGCTGGGCCACATGCCCTAGAATCAGAACTGTGGGCTATGCTTTTCTTTTTTCAGGATCGTTTGGGAACGGGTTTGGCCGAATTTAGTATGGTTGTGGCTGATTGCGGTAGAGCCTCAGTATCATTGACAGATGATGGAAAAGAAGGGCGTGAAGAAGACATCTTTTTCATCATCTCAAACCAAAAAACACACACTTCATATCGATCAAGATTCTGCAACCTCTCTCATTTTCTTGATCACCATTGGTTCCTGGCCAAGAAGATTGAAGATGAATATATACACAAGTTGACTATATGGGGAGTGAAGTGAGTGAAGAGTGCTAAACATGTGTGGGTGTGGGCCCGGGAGGATTGAATTACATAGTATTATTTTGGGAGTAAAGGGAAGATTGAATGCATTTACGTTATCTTGAATGTACGTTATCTCTTGCATTCTGAGATAATTCTTGTAGACAATAACTTACTTCTCCACCACCAGGGGTGGACCGTAGTAGAGACCTAGGGGGCAGTCGTCCCTCCAACAATTTTTTTTAGTGTATATTTATACCAAAAAATAATTTTCGCCCTCCTAATTTTTTTTTTAAGTTACCGTCATCTCAAGATGAACTTCCTGGGTCCGCCCCTGTCCACCACAAACTCCACAACAAGCTTTAAAGGGTAATTTTGTTTTAGGGGTGAGTTCTACACCTGGGCTTATGGCACTGGTGTGCGTCTTTTAAAGGCTTGGTTAGTCCCCCAAATTAAATGTCCAATATTTTACTAAGCACTTATCATATTTTAAAGGAATAGTCTCGCCATCGGGCGAAGGTTGTCTCATCTTTTCTTTTCGCTCTATCAAATTGGCTAAATTTTATGTGGTTCTAAATCATTCTTATTTTAGCAATGAATGGATAATTGAATACATAATTTATCGATTAATTAATTAATTAACTAACTAATTACATTAATGCATATATAAATAAATGAACTAAATAAATAAATCAATAAATAATTAAATGAATGAATGAATGAATGAATGTATAATTGAATAAATGAATAAATTAAAGAAAGAAAGAAATAAATAAATAAATACATAAATAAATAAATAAATAAATAAATAAATAAATAAATAAATAAATAAATAAATAAATAAATAAATAAATAAATAAATAAATAAATAAATAAATAAATAAATAAATAAATAAATAAATAAATAAATAAATAAATAAATAAATAAATAAATAAATAAATGAATGAATAAATAAATAAATAAATAAATAAATAAATAAATAAATAAATAAATAAATAAATAAATAAATAAATAAATAAATAAATAAATAAATAAATAAATAAATAAATAAATAAATAAAAACAACAATAATAGTAATATAATAATATTATTACTGATAATATTAATAAATGAAAAAATAAGTCAAGTGATGGAGATAAATTCGATGTTTTATCAAATATGGAAATTTTAACACACCGTAGGTGGAGTCTTTGCGACACCGGGGTAATGATGATGACGATGACCAAACATAGAAATCTCTATATAAGTATTTGAATTTTGAATTAACTAGTCTAAGACTCTAATCGAATGTAGTTTTAGCAGATTACTCCCTTCGTCCCTTATAATTTTGCCAACTTTCCTTTTTTGGTTGTCCCTAAAACTTTGCCACTTTCCCTTTTGATCAATCAATTTGTGACTCTTGTTATTTCGCTCTCCTCTACACAAATTTCTACTACACAGTTTTTACTTTATTATTCTACGTGTCGGTCAAACTTGGCCATCCTTTTAGGGACGGAGGGAGTAAGACGTAACTCCTAACCACTTTTTGGTGAGATTTAGACGTGTGGATTAGTCTAATATTGTGTCTCTGTTTTTGTCTAATGTCACTACACATTAAAAAAAATAAAAAAATCCCCAACTTTCAAGGACTGACAGAGTAGTCGAAGCGAGCTATATACAAAGCGATAGTTTTAGATTAGGCTTAGACATGTCTTAGGTCCAAGTTGGTAGATGATCCATTCTATGTAGGAATTGAATCAGTGATGCTCTAAGATTTCTTCCTTATTCAGATATCAGAAGCTAGGTCTTCATTAGATCCAACTGATTGTTCAATTCTAAGTATTGATCGGCGATACACATTTTGTAAGGTTGCTCTCTGACTTATTCACAATATTATAAACTAAGTTTATATCATTTCCTTTTTTCCTTTTGCTTTACTCTTTGTTGTATGTAGGCATGTAAAAAAAACGGCCTATGGAGACCCGCCCTGCCCGGGGGCATTCGAGTGGGTCCGCACTACCCCATCTTGCAAATAGGGCGGAGCCGCCCCGTCCTGTGCATAAAATGGGGCGGGTCTGAGTATTAGTATTGATGCAAGTTGCCCCGACCCGACCCACTCAATATAAAAATATACGAATTATATCCTTTTTTAAGTATACTACAAATACACACACATATATGAGTAATAATTCATTAATTCCTTAGTCTTTTAATATATTAATATTTACATTTTGAACTATATGAAAAATGAATTGTCTGTGTTTTTATATTGGCTAAAGGGTCAAATAGGCCCTTGAACTGACTTAAAGTGTTCAATTAGCCTCTTATATAGGAGGTTCTGCCCGGCCGTCGCCAATTGGGGCGGTTCCCGGTGGAATTTTTGATGAAATTTTTTGAGCATCTTCTTCATTAAGCGTAGTTTACTTATACCAAATTTCAGCTAAAAATTCAACCGGGAAGGCAGTCAAATAATTTTTTGAAGGTAGCTGCGAAGTTAAACAGCGCAGTACATTTCGGAAAATCATTTGACTGCCTTCCCGGTTGAATTTTTAGCTGAAATTTGGTATGGGTAAACTAGACTTAATGAAGAAGATGATCAAAAAATTTCATCAAAAAATTCCACTGGGAACCGCCCCAATTAACGACGGCCGGGCAGAACCTTCTATATAAGGGGCTAATTGAACACTTTAAGTCAGTTCAAGGACCTATTTGACCCTTTAGCCTTTTTATATTTAGCCTTTATATATTCATTATTCATAAATAAATACGTAGTAGTAAACTATTCAAGTCCAAATAATTTTTTCTTAATTTTTGAAACTTTTTATTGTATTGCGACTTTGATTTATTAAATTTGTTTTTATAATTATTTGGAGATAAACATTATGCAAAGTTCAAGCTTTAATGACTTCACGCAACTAAAAATGTGCACTAGCTATTAGGTTACTGCAGGGCGGAGCGGGGGGCTGCCCTGATGGGGCGGGTCATGGGCGGTTCCACCTAGTTATGTCACGGCGTAGGTCCGGTTCCTGCACTACCTCACCCGCCCCGACCCACTCTCATGCCTATTTTTATGTCCTTTTCTAATTCAAAAGCGACAAATGGAAGATTTTATTATATGTAACTATTTTTGCACTTTTTGCTTCATTAGTTGCTTTATTTGAACTAGTAAATCACCCGTGCGATGCACGGCCGGAGAATTTATATCCCATTTTTTCTCCTTTCAAATTGTTTTCAAAACAATTGCCACATAAGATTTATTGACAATAATACAAAAACTTTGGCGATAAGTTACAGAGTACACAATTCACGATCACCCACAGTAATAAAATAATAAAGCACACCAAAATAATTCTACAATGACCTACAGGCATTTGTTAAAAACGGAATGGAGTGCAACGTTACACGTTATTGAAAACTTCCTTATAAACAACATTTTGAGTGGCATTCGCGGTCTTGCCGCTGTCATCACATATAAGAATTCTCAAACCACGCCTGTTGGTCACTCTTGAAACCGCAACATAGTGTTGTTCATGCGTGAACACTGGTTTCCTCAACAACAAACTCACACGGGACAACGATTGGCGCTGAAATCATAATGGGGTACTGTCGCCTCTGAAATTTAATTTGAAAGGCAAGTTTGCATCAGAGGGAGTCAAGGACAACCAAGGAATCAACACTCTCAACCAAAAAAAGACGCGGCAATGATTGTCTTTGATTTTTTTTTTATTTATAGTCATGTTTAGGTATTATTGCTTCTGAAATTGGAATGATAAGCTAACATCTGAAATTGGTAATGAATGTTTGGGAATTGGTAGTTTCTGTCTCACACTAAAATTCTTTCTTCTAATAGTAATTTACCCGCACGGTACACAAATGATTTTGTCAAAGAATTTCCCTTTTCAAAAGTAATTTAATTGAAGGTAAACTATTTTAGCAAATAAGTAATAGGGTTATACGAATTGCATTGTTTTAACGAATTGCCGGGGTAAACAGGCAAATCAGGGGGTGCAAATATGTGGAAATGAGTAACCATATTTGACATCTTGTGAGCATGGGCATGGCCTAACCAAGTTCCGGGGGCCTTGCATTTTAACAGGCTTTTCATTATTAGTCCATTGTTGTTAGAAAGTCTGAGGTCCAATAAAATGCATCCCTCACCACTCGGCTCCTCATTAGTCCATTCCATAGGAGAACCAAACCCTTCATTCATGTGGCTGACTAAGACATTCTCTCCATCCCACTACAAAGAAAATCCAAATTCCCTAACTTAAAGCCGACTAAAGCAAGTAGCGCAATGAAATTTCTCTAATCATTGTCCGTCAATGGTTTGCCAAAACCCGGAACCTCCAGCGACGAAAACATCGATGGTCCGCAGTAGGTCGCCGACTAATGCCGTATAGATCGATTTACATGACAACGGTAAAGTCAAAACCCCCCACTATACGGTAGTGAAACCACCCGCCATAGTGAGGCTACAGATCAGGTAGATCCGTCGATATTGTTGATTACCTTTTTTCTTCAGCCGTTTCAATTTTTTATATTTTCTGTCAATGAACTTTATATTCGATTATATTTTATCTACATAAAACATACATCTTCAAAAAAGTTTTTATTTGAAAATTTAATAACACACAAAAAGTCTATTGATGAGAGTCATGTATATGTGTTTATCAAAATAAATAAATATCCCAAAATATTAAAAGTTAATTTTAATAATTAGATTTTGGAAAATCCGCACACAACCAACTTGAAATCTCTATATCCAAAACCACTAAGGGAGTGTTTGCAATTGCTTCAACTTTAAAAAAGTGATTTTTTAAAGTGATTTTGGGAAAAGTGATTAATAGTAAAGTTGGTAGTGTTTGAGAAAAAAGTGATTCTGAAAAAGTAAAAGTTGGTAGTGTTTGGTAAAATAAGTACTTTTTGTGTAATAGAAAAAGTGAGAAACAGTTTAAAGCACCCTTCTACATGCTTCCAGCCTTTTGCTTTTAAGTGATTAATTTAAGCAGAAGCTGTCATTTGAAAACACCCTTCTCAACTTTTTTAAGCCAAAAACTGAAAAGCGTTTTTTTAAGCAACCCCAAACACTCCTTAACCCAATTGAAAAAGACTGGCAACACCCAAAATGTCTAAAATGGACCGGCCCAGCGTCCAAATAACCCATGACCCAAACAACCCAAACAAATATTCTCTGCCACATACTCATACTCCTCAAACCATCCCTATTTTCTCGTCAACACTTAGACCTCCCCCAGTCCTCCCTCTCTAACCCTTATGAACTACATAGATCAAAAAATAAGAGACCACCTTCGGACTGCACTGGTAACCCTCCGGCCACAACAATCAAACTCCAAGCCACCTCAGAGATGAACCAAGCTGCTCGGTAACAACAAAATGGGATGGATCTCGCTCATTCAATGGCCGGAGACACAGGTAACATTCCCCCTTCTCGAACACACCGAACCAAAACCTCTAACCCGATCCTTTACATGCACGAAC